GCCCCCGCCCCGTCCCTCCTTTGTCTCAGGTTGGTACACCATGCAGCGCGTTCCTGACTGCCTGCTCCTGCCCTTCTCTTCATTCCTTGACCTCCCTCCTCCCTCTGGATCCCAACCCACCTTTCAAGTACCGATTCGCTGGTGTTTGTTTTGCTGAACTTTGATTTCACTTTTCTAAGAAATTATACAGCTTGAGTTCTCTCCTGAATCGTTTGTGCACACTTGCGCGCCTCCCAAGGTATTTACTTATCTATTTGAGAATTCATTCCAGCTTCCACATAAGAGGAAAAACACGTAGCCATTGTCTCTCTGAGCCTGACCTCACTTAACACAACTTTTAAGCAAGGGTTTACCAAGCTTGCCACAATCTGGCAAAGGAGCCAGGGCCCGCCCAGCCTCAGCCCATCTCCTTCCACAGCTCCCGGCCTCACCACTCTGCTCCTCTTGTGTGTAGATAGAAAGCGCCTGCAGCTTGATCACATCCATCCTCGAGGCCTTCCTTTCCAAAGAGAAGACAGTTGTCATGCGGGCTCTGCTCACCCTCCGGAGGCTGCTCGGCAGATTGGACAAGGTGACCTATTCCTCGCTGTGCACCAACATAGCCTCCAGCTACTGTCCTCTGATGGATCACGTGAGTCTACAGTTGCGTGCGCACGTCCATTAAGTTCCTGTCACAACTGAAGTCCAGCTGAGGGGATGACTTTATGTCCCAGAGTAAACCAACTGATGGCAGCCTTTCCTGCACAGCCATGCCCTGCATAGCCATCTTTTCTTTGGTGGGGGGGGGATGATATTTGCCAGGTCTTTTTATCATTATTATTATTATTATTTTGTCAGTCATGAGACCTGAACTCTGGGCCTGGGCGCTGTCCCTCAGCTCTTCAGCTCAAGGCTAGCGCTCTACCACTTGAGCCACAGCGCCACTTCCGGCTTTTTTCTTTTTGCTTATGTGGTGCTGAGGAATCGAACCCAGGGCCTCATGCATGCAAGGCAAGCGCTCTACCACTGAGCCACCTTCCCAGTCCCAGGTCTTTTATTTTAAAGCGACTAAATTCTAGAAAAGTTTGTTCATAAGAAAGGAGAATCAAAGAACAATCTCTGTCTTTGGAAAAAGAGAAATTTTAGCTTCAGCGCTATATATTGTTCAGGACTGGCCGGATTCAAGTGCTACTTTATGTATTACTCATCCATCCTTCTATTAATGAGCACTTAGGTTTCTTTTATGTCATGTCTATTGTGAGTGCTGTACAAGCAAAACTTAAGTTAAAATCAAAATCAAGAAAGTTCTTTGCTTAGTGTTAAACCACTTTTATTGACCTTTACTATTATATGATATAATCTATTGGGGAGGTAGGGGGGAGGAGGAAGGAGATGGGAAGGGATGGGAAGGGGAAACAAAGGAGGAGGCAACAATGCTTGATAAGAAATGTACTCATTACCTTGCCCATGTAATTGTAACCCCTCTGTACGGTATTTTCACATAAATAAATAAATAAATATATCTCTAGTTTTTAATATGTTGATGAAGTTCCATCAAGAACAAGATACAGAGTGTTTCCTTCACCCTTAAAAGAGCAGTCAGCTCTCTTTCCTCAGAAGCTGAGCAGAGGCTCTTCCTGGAGAGCCTCCCATACCTGTGTCCAATACCACGTGACAGAACAGACAATAACAACGTCTTGTTATTCTGTTATCAAAAAAATGAAGAAGAAAAGAAGAAGAAGAGTTGGAGGCCTCTGGCTTATACACATAATTCTAGCTACCTGGGAGGCCAAATTTTGGATGATCACAATTCAAGGCCAGCTCAGGCAGGAAAATGGGCAAGACTCCTTGCCACAAAGGTGTACACCTGTTAGCTTAGCTACACCAGGAAGCCTGGTGTAGGCAGAACGTCACTGCAAAGCCAGATCTTATCTCAAAACATAAGCAAAACATCAAGACTGGAGTAAGAGCTCAGCAGTAAGAGCAGCTGGCTAAGCAAGTTCCAACCCTGGTACTGCCAAGCAATGCATAAATAAGAAGGTCTTTCATAAAGGTAAATTGTAATGATTCCATGTGTGTGCACATGCACCTCTGTGAGCATGAACCTGATAGAGCATACCCACATACTGCTGAATAGAAAGCTGTACAATCATGCTCAAATGCAGCCTTCTTTCTTGTGTGTGTGTGTGTGTGTGTGTGTGTTCCAGAGTAATGGAGGCATTCGGAGCATGGCCATTCGACACTTTGGAGAACTACTTAGAGATATGAGTCAGTACACATGGATGCTGAGCCACGTGATCCTGGGAGGCCTAGTGCCCCTAATCTTGTTTCTGGAAGATAAGGAGCAGAGAGTAGTCAAAGTAAGACCACTGGTCTTATTTTTCTTTAAGAAAAAAGAAAGGTTTTATGTAAGCTCAGATGATCTTCACTGACATGTTCTTATCTCACAGGCATGCAAATATACACTAGATATCTGTGCCTCCCAACTGAAGTGGTCAATATCATACTTACTCAAAGATGAGAATTACAACTTTGAGCTGGTGGTCATCAACATCTGTAATAATCTTGTAAGTCACCTTCTGTCTTTTCCTACCATACGAGTTACAGATAGTGCACAAGAACATTCAAAGTTATGAAAGGTGTGAGGGGGGGAAAGGTGGCTCATTATATCAAGGGCTCGAAATATGAGAGAACATTGGGATTTCATATTTCTTCTCCCTCAATTTTGACCATTCATCTTCTCTTCCTTTGATCCTCATACTTGGAAACATGGATGGATATAAAATTAGGAAGAGAGTTCCAGATGACCAAAGGAAGGTTGGAATGATTTTGCCACCACTTTATGAGTTGGCCCTCTGAAAGCCAGCATGGACAATGGTAGACAAGTAGGGAAGGAAGAATGCTAAACTCGGTTAGAAGTACCACTTTGATGATCAAAGTCATGATATTTGTTTGATATAGGATTATCAAATCATAAGCAGATTAGTCTTTGCAAGTGGCCAGCAGTGTACATAGTCCACACATAAAAAGTCTAAAAATTCATCCTGAATTTAGCTTAAGCAATTAAGTTCTTATGTCCTAAAGTCTCCTTGGAAGCAGCAAATATACCTTTTCAACAATTGAGAGATGGTGTTTTCCTACTTTTCATTTTCAGGTTGCTTCTAATGAAAACCAAATTACAGATTTAATATCTGACACCTTAGGGTTCATGGGAAGTTCCCGAGTCTATCTGAGGAGAGGAGCAGTTATTTTAGTTGGTAAGTAAATTTAATTCTTCTATTTCTTAATTTGTCTCTAACGGTACAGAATAGGGTGAAAGTTAGAAACATTCATTTGAAATTTATAAATTTTGTTTACTTATGATATACACTTGGTGCTATCTATGAAAAGTAGAGATTAGCATATGTGATAGGAATAAGTTTACTTTTAAAATACACAGTGAGTCTGACTAAATTGTTCCACCAAAGATATACAACATGACAGATTTCATATTTTAACTTGTACACACCACCACTCACTCTCTCTTACTCCTTAAAAATTCCAATCCAAAAAAGAAGGATAATTTAAAAATATACACCATCATCAACTTCAACAAAACTGGGATAACAAAGGAGAAAGAACTAGCAAATCCAGTAAAGTTTTAAAAAGTGGAGGCACAGGTGTCCAGGAAGATTTCTAGGGGAGTGCAGCTAACGTATTTGATTTTTCAAAAAATCTAACCAAAGCATTTTCCCATAAGATGCTCACTGAAGATGAACAATTTTAAATCCCTCATTTTGGAATGAGGGATTGTTAGTGAGTTCCCAACTCGGTAGTAGGATTTTCCATCCACCCCGTTAGTCACATGGAATCTCAAATGAGCAACAGAATCACATGATCACGTCATATTTGTAAAGGTGACTATCGATCAGGGGAGATGACAAATTGAACAATGATAGTCACTAGAACTCACAATCTGTATAGACCAAAGAGGAGCAGAGAAACATATGTACACACATACACAGAAAGCCCTGTCATAAGCATTTATTTCAATCCCTACTATTTTAAAATCTATCCTAGAGTTTTCCAGAAATAAATCTTGGTTTTTAATTGTGAGATCCCTAAATTAATATATTTTTAAAAGGAACTAGTATAAACTTTCTATAAAGGTACCTCCAGAGAGAAAATGAAAGATGAGACTTAGAAATTTCTATAGAGCAAATGAAAATCATGATAAATATGTCTGTGAATCCAAAACTTCTGAAAATAAATTTCCGAAGTAGAATAAAAAAGCTCAGGGGCTGGGAAGGTGGCTCAGTGGTAGAGCGCTTGCCTTGCATGCTCGAGGCCCTGGGTTCGATTCCTCAGCACCACATAAGCAAAAAGAAAAAAGGAAGTGGCGCTGTGGCTCAAGTGGTAGAGTGCTAGCCTTGAGCTGAAGAGCTGAGGGACAGCGCCCAGGCCCAGAGTTCAGGCCCCACGACCGGACCCAAAAAAAAAAAAAAAAAAAAGCTCATAGAAATATAAGGTAGGATAATAAGAGCACATGGAAAAATAAGAGTTCAAGTATGAAAAATATAGAAATACACATAAATATTTTCAAAATGAAAACTCCAAAGAGAGGAGTAAAAGATAAGAAAGTTTTTACAGGGAACGTGAATAGATACTCAGTTTGCTGCAATTATTTAAAATTTACATCTATTCTACATAGTCCTTTGTACATATATTGTTAATTTTAAAGTGAATTATTTAAACTATTAAAAATCATTTAAAATTATTTAAATCAATAACTTTCTTACACAGAAGCAATCAACACATTAAAAATACACTAGAATAACAGTTCCCATTTACAGTAAATAAAAAATAAAGAAGAAAGGGAATAAGGAAGAAATGGGGAGTAAAAAAGTAGGAAAAGGAAGGATGGAGGGAAGAGCCTCAGAAGGGAGAGAAAGAAGGTGGGAACCAAGAAAGGAAGGAAGAACTCCTGAAAAAGACAGAAGAATGCGAATGAGAAAGAGATGGAAAGAGGGAATAAAAGAGAAAAGGAAGGACAACAGGGGAGATATAAAATAAACCTTGAAAACATGTAAACATTTACTGAAGAACACAAGGTGGAGACACACAAAACACACAAACTTTATTTTCTTTTATCATAAACTGTATTTTGAGAAAGAATCAAAACATTTTACAAATCACTTTGTAGTTATCCATTGACACACATACATTGTGATGAATCATCGAGATAACTTCAGGCATGAAAAGATGGCTCAAGGATAATCTAGAGCTGCCTTTGCTTTAAAGAAAGCACAGCAGGTACGCAACACCACATACCACGTTTTCACCTGTTTTGAGATAACTTTCATTTTACTTCATACATAGGATACTTGGCAAAATTGGGTGAATATTTCCTACTCAAAGATGAAATGGCAGTCATGTTTGAAGGTGAGTGTGAAGGTAATCAGGGACATAGGTTGAAATAGATTAGTGATTTGTGCCTTTAGTCACATATGAGACCCGTATAAGGATGCAGGACGAACAAGGATGGTAACGGCGGTGGCTGGTTGGGGGGAGGATTGGTTAAGGAACATCTTTTTCTTGCTGTTCCACTCTGCTTCTCTTAGTCCCCTAACCCCTGTGATTGTCTGAGACCTTGCATCCCATAACCCTTGGCATCTGCAGAGAGCCCCCATCAGCACATCTTTTATTAGCCTCTTCTGTATGACAGCGCCATTCTCACGGCCGGGGCTACAGCATCAAAGAGGCCAAAACCTCTTTCCCTGGAGAATTCCCACTGCAGCGGATAGTAACCTATCTTGCATGTGTGTCACAGACATCTCCCCGTGCCAAAGGCTACGTGCCTACTTCAATATATTAAAGTATGTGTGTGAGGTCATTGTATGATCAGCATAACTTTTCAGAGGTAAGATGTTCCCTACTGATAAACATTTAGATCTCTTCCAACTTTTTCATTATTGACTAATGTGATATATATTGTGTGATATATAATGTGTATATATCTAGGAGCCTTTCTGTGAATAAATACATGTGTTTGCTGTTGAGCAGAATGCTCAGAACGTAGCAGGTGCAGCAGGCATTTAGTGAGTCCTCCCAGGTTTCCTTGAATGGGTTGCTGATAGTCCGAGAAGAGTGGGCAACAGGAGGAGGCAGGCTCACTCTGCGAGGTGGCAGGGGGCTCGGGGCTGCAGCTGCTTCGATCACCCAGGACCCCTCTCCTTGTTACAGTGATCGACAAACTGCGCTGGGATGAAGACCCCATTACTCGGGACCTGGCAGAAATGACCCACCACATTCTAACAGAAATCGCCTACAAAATGACCTCCTCCACTATCAAGAAAAACTTCCGGAGAATTTTTAGGTTTATCTACACCAAAAGATTGAAGCCCCTTTATAACTGGAACATGGACCTAACAGATAGTGACAGTGACACTAAAGAGATGAAGAGTGACAAAGAAGGCTTGGCAGAAGAGAATGATGATGACATCGTTATCTAGAGAATGAGAGATTCTCCTGCGCAACTAGAGGTTCGGCACTGGAGCAGACCACAGAAGAGGAAGGAATCCCCGCCTTGATAACCTGAGTGCATTTGTCGATATTTTTCTGAAGAATGCTAGAACATTTAACTATCCTTTCTTAATTCTCTATTAAAACATGTACATCTGAAAAGTCTACAGCTCTCTGTATCACAAGCCCATCAAGTCGATTGAAGAGACATACGGTCATCCCTCAGTATGGGTGGAGAGTTGGGTCTAGTATCCCCATACATAACAAAACCTATAGGTGCTCAAGTGTGCTACATCATGTAGAAAAGTATTTGTATAAGATATAGATAGATGATAAATAAATGATAAGGGAGAGAGAGAGAGAGAGAGAGAGAGATGTATCTCCTCTGGAAATCTACAGATATGGAGAGTTGAGTACAGAAATGAAATGTTGCTGCTGGGAGACTTTTGGAGCTCAAGTCAACCAGGAAGTTACTGAGCTTTTTCTAAATAGCAGTAGAGCTATCTAGGTGGTATGAGCAAGGCTCTTGGTCCGAGGGGAACGTCCAGTGACACAGTGTGCTGTCCTCTCTAACCCGCCAGAAGGCATGCTGCTAGAGACTTTGGCATAGAGGTGACGGGCTTGAGAGGGAGGGAAGGGAGGAGCAAATGTGTTGTTGGTGGCCATATTAAGACAATAAAAGTGGAGAAGAGAACTGAGGGGTCTGTCGTATAACTGTGTAGGAATGGAGGTTTGGGAAGAGCTGAGCCTGAGGGAGGGTTAAACGCTAATGGATGTGAGATTCTGACATGGAGATTTCATGGTAGGTCGTAATGTTCCTACTGGCATCCGGAGGCAGCTAGTTTGTTCTTCAATGATCTGAAGTTCTCTCTCACTACCGACCCATGCAGTAACCTCCTTCGTCATCTCCTTCTTCTCTCTCCTCTTTCTCGCATTTCCTTGTTCTGTATTTCCTTGACTTCCCCAGGACCTCTGAGCACACAAAGCCTATCCACCCTCAAACAAAGCAATATGAAGTGATAAAAACCTGAGCATCGTCGACTGGTTCTTCTCCACAATCTTAGTTGTGGGATATTAATCCTGTTCCCATTTTACAGATGAAAAGCATAAAGCTCAGCAAGGCTGGCTAAGCCTTTGCATACCTCGGGGACAGAAAGGTGACCTCACATTGTCCACAGGTAAGGGGCTTCACAAAACACTCCTGTTCATGAATATCGTTTCCCACTGAGCATCAACCCAGTTTTCATATCAAAAGCACTTGGACTGGCTTTGTGTTTCAGAGGTTTTGTTTTGGTCGGTGTGTTTTTAATCCCAATAAACAGTCTTTACTCTGGGTCATTTACATCAGGATACTTGAGGGTGAAGCCTGGAATACCTCCAATTTGGCTCTTCCCAGAACCTGCCTAGAGTTTTTTGGCCTCAGACAGTATCTCTCACAAGAGTAATTTTTTTTAAGTTGAAACAATTCAGATATCTACGTTCAGATAAGTGGATGCAGACCAAATGCATGTAGTTATACAAGGGACAGCATCCCTACCCATGAACCTTGAAAATATCATCCTTGGTGGGAAGCCACAAACTGTAAGAAATGTCCTGAGCAGTTAAATCTGCAAGCATGGGGAGATTAGAGTTTGCCTGGGCACGACCTACCGGGCGGAGCAGAGAATGGGCAGAAGGGCTTAAGAGGAGTGAGAGTTCCTTTTGAAATGATGAGAACCTTCTGGAACTAGACAAATGACATTCTAAGGGTACTACATACCACTGGATCTTACACTTTAAAATGATTGATTTTAACTGTAACCCCTCTATACACCATCTTTACAATAACAATAAAAACACAGGAAAATGATTGATGTGATGTGATACGAAATTTACTTCCATTTCAAAAAGTGACAGGCCACAGTCCCACTCCGCCTAGCATCGGGAAGACTGACCCAGCCTGGCCTCCTGCCTCAGCCTCTGGTCCTCCAAACCCAGCCTGGCAGGTGAGGGTCTCCCTTCCTCTATGGAAGGTATGCCAGAGACGGCCAGGCTCCAGGCAGGCGCTCCCCTGAGCTCCTGCTTGGTGACCTTAGATGCCCTTAGACTAACGAGAAAGTATCTACCGTCAGGTCCTGGCTGCTCTGGTGTTCAGAGGTGCAGAGAAGATCATCCTGTGCTCTTATTACATGTAGTAAATGGCACCAGATTAAAAGCCAGTTGGGGTATTGAAGCCCAAATCTATGGACCTATCTTCTAAAGCTGCAGGTGCACTGTTGGCACACCTGTGTGCAACCAGAAGAGAGTACCTTTCTTTTTCAAAGGGAGAGAATGTGTAACTTCTAAACACAGAGTGCAGTGTAGTGAATGATATGAGGTAAGACTTAGGAAACAATTTCAAGACAGAGGAAAGTGCTCCATTGTTGACTGTTCCCACAGGTCACATGACCAGGATCTACCCCACTTGGGAGGCTAGATTTGGGTTAAAGTTCTCATTAATGGAAGATAAGCAGAGGAAACATTAACAATTTTTCATGCTGTGCTTTATTGCTCCTGCTGGGTGACACTCGGATATTAAAAAGTCAGCTTTACTGTTGCAGAAAGTTGTGAACTCTTGGTGCTGTGGCAGAGCTATCTCCTCTTCTTATGCGCCTGGCTGGACACTTGGGTGATTTCTCAGTGTGGAGCACCCGGACACTCAGGTGAGGAGTTGGAATAGACTCTGGCTCATCCCAGGGCTCTGTTGATGCCTGCAAAGGCTCAGCTCCTCCCTCTCCCAACATACCACCTTTCCAAGACATGGACACAGTCAGAGTGAACCAGGACTCTGTATCTGGGAAGAATAATGGTTGTGGGTATATATTTTATTATTTTTGGATATTCTTAAAAATATGGTATCTGAAGCCCTATAATATTAATATATGATTAGAAATATATTTGTGAGACCATTTGTGAGCTATGACACAATGTGACAGAATTTAACTCCTGATATTTTTAGGTCCTATTTCTCTACAGTGTCATGTCTCCCTTTATTCTCATTTTCTCCAATCACAAATACAAAGTGTCATTTTTCTGTAACTAAAAGCATTCATTCTCTCTTAATAGAATTGAGAAAAATCCCAAATAGAAGGACTTCTGTGGACTGAGGAAAGCTGCAATAAAGATGGCATCCTTTGCGATAAACAGACCAGGGAAGATTTCACAAGATGCTTCACAAAAAGATTTTTTTAAGTCATAAATACACATGACCCCAAATACATACAGTGTTAGTTACATAAGTCATTGCATAATGTCAAGGAATCTGGGAGTATTTCAGCTAGTTCTTTACTCAGAACACATCAATCACTTTGCAGATGCATTTGCTGAAAACATCTATAAAATAATCCTGACAGAAACCAGACACGTAAGAGAAATCCACAGGAATTTCAAATGCTGATGAGGTTTCTACTAAGCAGGAACGTATTTCTTTAAAACACTATTCTGTCAGGAAATTAATGTTGGTTTATAAAATGCTTTGAATGTTTTGTTAGGCTCTGATCATAATAAATACATCCCTAGCTCTGAAGCTCCTCTGAGTTTTCCACGCTCATCTCCAGAGTATGTTCTATGTCTAAGCTGAATACAATGGTGAACATTTGTTAAGCTCCTCCCAAGAGCGAAGAAATTTATTTCTAACAATCTACATAGAAACCTTCTGAAGGTAATTTAACTCCCTTTGAATAAATAAAGAAACCAGAGACAGACAGACAGAGAGAAGAGGATGAAGAGAAAGAGGAGGAAGACCAGAATACATTGGAATAATTTTCCACGACTCATGGCTTGTCATTGGAAGTTCGGAGGTTTAAAGCCGGACTTGATCGAACCCACCCAGCTTTTAGTCGGCTCTGTTGTTTACACTCTGATTTGGTTCATGATGAGGTTTTCATACTTCATGGCTCTATTACCTCACATTCATTCGTATGGAGATCCTGATTTTTAAAAGCCTTTTATATTGGTTGCATTCATGATTTCTTTATTTGCTGAAAAAAAATAAAAAGATCCCTAGTTAAAATGAAAAAATGTCTTCAGGTGTGTTGTCATTCTTAATCAAGAACTGGTCACAGACCAAAACAATATGGTAACCCCTGGGTCATCAGAAGAGCACCCAGGTTCAATTCCACTTCCACACAGATTCCTTCCCTGAATTTCTTTCATTTGTTATTGAGTTAATATTTACCAAATATTTCCTGGCAGACATTCCCAGAAGTACGACTTCAAGTGAAATATGCACGGTGCCCTTGCTCATGGCATTTACTATGTATTGCAAAAATAACATTGAACAAATAAGCATACAAATGAATGTATAACTATCAATAACTATGTGTGAAACGAAATGAAGATTATGCCCTAAAGGGACTTAATAGAAAACGGGGATTTTGAGGCTCCCTAAAGCAGAAATGTAGGCATATATAAGAATTTACATTGAAGAGTTGGAGTTCTGGTCTTGGACAAAAACAAAAGTGAAAGCTATTAATTAATTTCATCCCCCCCGGAAATAAAGACTGATGAACTGGTGTAATGCTTAGGAGAAGTTCTGGACTGAGTGAAATGGGGATTGAATATTCACTCTGACCAAGAGGTTGCAATTTGGGGAGAGTTCTCACCTAATTCAAGTTCAGTTACACATGTGTACACGGGGGTAGGGATGAGGGGTGATGACTAGAAGCCCTGCCTAAAAGTAAAAGCAGGATAGATGAGGAAACTACGATCACAAACATGGCAACATTCCTGGACTATATTGAACAATAAATGTTACCTGCTGGGCTGATTTGGTCACAAGCAAAAATTTTAACGTGAGAAATTTTACTTTCTATATTACCTCTCCTTCTGCCAGGAGCTGGGTTTTTAGGAGGTCCGAGCAAGGAGGCAGAGGTGAATGACAAAGCCACCAGGTCAAGGGAGGTGGAGGCTTTTCAGTTGGGCCCAAGGTGGAGTGTTTACAGCTGGGCTTCGGATTGCCCGGCCTGCACTTCAAACAAGTTCACACACGCCTTGGATTTTGCCTGGCTTCTTTATGGGCCTGGGACCACTGGATGGGGTCAATTCTTCCTGTTCCATCTTTAGACCCGGCTAAGAGGGGAGCGGCAAGGCCTTCACAGACTACCCCCTGCCTCTCTCCCAGGACTGCATAAGGGCGCCTCTGAACACAGACCGGCACCCTTCCCCCCCTCTCCTGTGAGAGAGCTGGCCTGTCAGCCCTGCTGGCAATAAACTCCCTTTGTTCTACTGTTAGAACCAGGTTACTTTAAACCAATAGGGTATTAATTAGGCCAAGGAAGAATGAAATTTGACTGGGACAAACAAGCCCCAGGTAATCTGAGAAACATACATACAGACCCTAGGAATGGCACGTACCGAAATTGGCAAAGTGAGGAAGAAGAGAGCGACCTTGAAAGGTGGGATCTCCCTGTAGAGAAAGACTCCGGAGAGTCATCAAAAGGAAAAGTCCAGAGGTGAGGGCCTGGGTGTATTAGGGAGTTAATCACCAGGTTACTGGAATTTGGTATATAACAGTGAAACAGAAAGAGCCGGGAAACCTGGACGGTTGTCTGATTTGGGGTGTGATTAGTGAGAAGTTTGGAATGGGGTCTTTGCTTCTTTGTGTTTCACTCCCTTGCTGCTTTGGCGGGAAGCTCTGGGGTAAGGACTTTGCCCTGTGACTCGGGCCTTGGTTATGGGAATGACTGGAATGGTCATCGCCATCTTGTAATCCCTACCTGCCAGCTTGCAGATCACCGAACTCCCACAGACCCCTGTGAGTGGTGCCCCCTCTCCAGGGACCTTGCCTTTGATAATCTGAGCGATGTGACTTTATGCTGGTCTTCACTGTGTTGGTAGGGTGAGGGCAGTGGCGGCGGCAATAAAGGCTGCTAGCCTAGTTGACGGAGTGTTGGGGTGTCTTGTTGGGAAATCAGGGTACTACACTATGTGACTTAGTCCATGTGATCCCCGGGGCTGGTTACTCAGGCCTCACCCTACAAGAGTTTACCGAGAAGCACACACGGGCCATCGCTGGCTTCCGCTAAGCCCTATGAACAGCATGCTGACTGCAGAGTACGTGGGGCCACCTGGGATTTTAGGGGTTAAAAGAAAGCGGTACAAACTGCAGAACTCATTGCACAACTGCCTGCCAAACAACAGTCTGACCCAGGTTTTCTCCAACTTTCTTTATCAGTATTGCCTAAGCTCTTTTTGTTTTTCTTTTTGTGTGACTGGACGTGATGATCTCCAGTTCCATCTATTTTCCTGCAGATGACATGACTGTTCTTTATGGCTAAGACGTGTGCGGATGTGTGTGAGAGAGACTTTCCTCATCCACTCATCATGGATGGACACTCTGGGTGTCTCCATACTAGTTAGTTGTTTAAATGTCTCATTGCCGTCTTTAAGACTACAGGACCTTAGTGTTCGCCGTCACAGGGGCAAGGCTGTGTCCCAGCCGGTCTCGTGACAGTAGCTGCAGGAGGGGCTGTGAAAGGTCTTGGGTTTCTTTGCACCTTTTAAAGCTGGGGGTGGGGGGGAGGGGAGGCTGTTCCTGGTGGGGGAGTCATGGTTCCCTGTGCTGATTCAGACCACCAGGCCCTGACATGGCAAATCATCTCTGCATCTGGATGTGGCCATCTCCACGAATGTTCCTGTTCCTGCTTTGACATAGCACAGTAGAATGGAGACACTGCCTGGCTCTCAGGAGTGGGTGGACCAGTGTAACAGTAGACCGTGTTCATTGGGACCAATGGGGAGGAGGAGCTGGGAGAAGGTGAGGTCTGGCCCTTAGCCCCACCTCCTGTGGGGGTGTGCTCTCTCCTTAGAGGGCTAAGAAATGGCTACCTCTTTAAGAACAGCTCCTCCCTTTTTGCAATAATCCTTTCAAATGTGGACTCAGTAGAGCACTTTTTCCTTTCAAACTTCCTTCAAGATTCAGCCTGGGCACTCAGAATAAAGGAAGGTGAAGAAAAGGTAGGATTCAAAACAAGAGTGACATTTGCAGGCTAAGAGGAAAGGAGGTCGGATGGTAAGAAGAGAATGTGATGTTTGTCCTATTAATGTGGCTGGAATGGGAATAACATGGAATTTAGGAACTTTTCGTAGACAATGATTCTCAGCACACAAATACCTCTTTCTGTCTGCTTCTCTCTCCTCCTTCCCTTCTTGTCCCCCCCTTAATCTCTCTCTTTCTTTCATTGCTTTGTGACTTTATCTTTTAAAAAAAATAGAGAAGTAGTAGTAGATGCTAAACGCAGCCTCAGGACCAAGAAAATAGTAGGAAATGGGAAAAATTGCTTTAAGACAATGGTTTTAATTCTATTAACAAAAGAAAGGAAATGACTACCAGGCACACTGAAATAGAAACATTCATAATATTATGTCAGGTAGAGTATATATAGAGATGTGTGTGTATGTGCACGTGTGTGTGTGTGTGTGTGTGTATGTGTGTGTGTGAGTGTGTGGAGTATATATAGAGATGTGTGTGTATGTGCGTGTGTGTGTGCGTGTGTGTGTGCGTGTGTGTGTGTGTGTGTGAGTGTGTGGAGGTAGCCCTCAGAATCTGTTGATCAATCATGAATGGAAAATACGATTCGGCCTCCAAGGGTTCAATCTGCACTGAATGCATACAACATTTTTCTTGCCCTTACTGTCTAAATAATATAGTGAATGACTGTTTACATAGCATTTATATTACATTAGGAACTATAAGTGATCTAGCAGCGACTTAAAGTCCAGGAGAAGCATGCCTACACAGAAGGCAGGTGTGAGAGGATCATGGTCTGAGGCCAGTCCAGGAAAAGTGAGTGAAACTCTATCTCAAAAACCAGGCCAGTCGTGATAGCACACACTTAGAGTCACAGGGAGGCAGGAGTGAGGGGAAGAGGACCAGAGCCCCAGGCCAGCTCTCAGCAAAACACAAGACGCAACATGAGAAACAGACAAAGAGACACCAAGGGCCAGGGCACGGTTCAAGTGGTGGAGTGCTTAGCTAACAAGTACAAGGTCCTGAGTTCAAACTCTGGTACCACCAAAAAACATTGTAAAAAATTAAAGGTAGATGTGCTTGGATTAGATGCAAATAGAAGGCATAAGGGAAACTTCAGCATCTTCAGATTTTCATTCTGAAGTCAGTCCTCAAAGAGACTGGAGGAGCCATTCTTTATGTATACACATTTCTATTTGTATGCTCAAATGTGCACGTGGGGGGGCAGGGTAGAGGTCTCCTGTGAATCTCTTAGAGGGCGAAGTGAAAACAAAATGGTCCGTTCTCTTTACGCATCAGCAGCATGCGACATGTAATGTGAGTACTGAATTAATGTTCTTTTCCTTGGGTACGACGGGACACTCTTATCTAACCCAAAATTAGTCTCAAATTAAAGTGTGGGCAAGACTGCTTCTGGAAATGCTCTCTGGGCCTTTGCACAGGCAACCATGGTGAAGCGGGTGGCCATCGTGGGGGCCGGTGTCAGCGGCCTGGCCTCCATCAGGAGCTGCCTGGAGGAGGGTCTGGAGCCCACCTGCTTCGAGAGGAGCGCGGACGTCGGGGGCCTGTGGATGTTCTCAGTGAGTAGGCAGCTCTGGGACCCACGGGGAGGGAGGGAGGCAGCGGACAGCAGGCTGCCTGAGCCTGGCCCCACCTGCTGCCCGGCAGCCATGACCCCTCCTTGAGTTGACATCCACACTGTAGAACATCAGGAGCTGGTTGAAAACCAACTTCCCTGCACGTGAAAAGTGCATGCAAGCACAGGCTGGCTTCAAACAATCCCAGTGAACAAAGTACACCCCTGAAAAATCATTGACAAGAGCTGCTGCAGATCAGAGCCATTGCTTATAATAAAGGGACAGGAGTCACTCGCTCAGAAGTCGTGACTTTGACAAGGTCCTCTTACTGATTCCGACCAAAGGCTTTTAAGTTTCAGATGTGTTGTTGGTGGTGGTGGTGGTATTACGGGTTTATTGTATTTTATTCTGCATTTTTGTCATCAGGTGACAAGAGCGCAGAGAGTTATTTGTGGACTCTGGACTCTCTTCCATCTGGTCTGTCTATTTTTGTGGCAGTACCATACAATGTTGATTACTCAAGCTTTGTGGCACATTTTAAAGTCATCTACCTTTATCGCTTTTGTTATGCTTTGCGGAGGCTCTTCAAGGGTCCTTGGTGCCTCCACATGAATTTAGAATTTCTTCCCGGTTTTGTAATGAATGCTCTTGTTGTTTTAATGGGGATTGCTTGAGTGAACATATTAACATTAATTCCTCCCATCTGTGAACACAAGAGGCCTCTTTATTTTTGGAGTCAGATCTCTTTGATGGAAGTTGGATCATACCCACTGTAGCAGTCCCCATGGGTCCTTGACTGAATTTATTCCCAAGGTTTGTTTTGGCTTGATTTTGTTATTTGTTTGCCACTACTAGAACTTCAACTCAGGGACGAGGTGCTCTCCTTTGCTTTTCACTCTACCACTTGAGCTACGCCTCCACTTTTGACTTGTTGGTGGTTAATTGGAGATAAAATAACCTGGGGTATGAGTCACAGTCTTCAGACCTCAGCCTCGGGATTACAGGCAGAGCCAGCAGCGCTGGGATTGGCTTTATTTTTGTAGCTATTCCCAGTCTCTTTCACAGTCACCTGGTAAGTTTCTGAAGGCAACACTGCTTCCTGAGTAAGTGGGTGAGAGACCCAGATATTTACATGCAGAAGATGGAACTTAACCCCTATCTCTCTCACCCTGTACAAAAATAAATTTATAACGGATCAAAGACATAAATGTAAGACCTGGAGCTGCTCATAGAAGACCAGTTCAAACTACTAGAAGAAAATACAGGGGAAATATTTCAAGCATAGGCGTTGTTAAAGTAGACTTTGCCAGAAAACCACGTAGACATCCAGGTACAAAGAACAAAGAAAAGGTGTATTGGCAATAAAGGGACCGGCAAGACCCCCCCTCACAGGAGAGAAGTGCCGGCATTGCCTCGGGTGACTTTTATAACCTCTGAGATCTGGTGAGTCCTGCTGCCTCCTATGGTGACAGGAAACCCCTCGAGGCTGGCGGCTGGAGGGAGCCATTGACTGCCTTTACCGAATGGGTCTAGTGTTGCCCAGGAAAAGCGCACACTCAACTATGCGGGAGGAAGCTCTGGGCTGAGCGGCAGAGTTGTTGCTTTTTTCCCTACGACTTCGAAGCACAGGAAATACAAACAAAAACACAAAGATGGGATTATGTGAAATGAATCTGCTGCGCAGAGGAAAGCTACAGAATGCAGCCACAATTCACAGAACAGGAAATAAAAACTGCCAACTATGCATCTACTAAGGGATGCATATCCAGCATATATTCAGAACCCAGTTAGAAAAGGTGAATGAATATACGCATCTTAAAAGGAGAAATTGAAATAGCCAACAAATATATTCATAATGGAATATCATTGAACCTTGAAAAAGAATAATATTCCATCATTTGTAGCAAACATAGATGGGAATTGTATTGGAGGCTGTTCTGTTAACAAGACACAGAAAGACAAATTCTGAATATGCTCTTTCATATGTGAATATTTAAGATCTGTAAGAGTAATTACTAGAGACCAGAAAGTGGCTGATTGGGAGAGGAGTAGGGTAGTAGATTAGAGAATAGGAACTCAAATGCAACTCAGCAGAAGTAAGAAGTGCCAGTGTTCTAGAATAACAACATATATTTCATAAGTAACTAAAAGACGAGCTGGAAGTCTCCAAACACAAAGTGACGGTAAGGAGATGGGAGACTTCATTATCTTGATTTGTAGGTATGTATTGAAATTTGAAATGTCTATACCCCCAGACAAGTACAATTATTATATATTATGTATTATTATGTATTAATTAAATGGCTTTGAAAAGTGTTTAAGAAGATGAACATTTTCACTATTTTGATCTGATCACTGTGTGCTATATATGTGTATCGGACTACCTACCCCCACAGTAACTCAAAAATTTGTACAATAAAATGGTGCCAAAAAGTGTTTAATTGAAACCTTCAGGTATTGGCTCAATCTTACAACACTGCATACTTAGTGAGAGTTGCAAGCTTCATCGTTTTCTGATGCCAATTTGACACTGGATATTTATAATACAGACTCATCTGAGGCTGGTGGCTCATACCTGAAATCCTAGCTATGAGAGGATCGTGGTTCAAAGCTAGCCCAAGCAGAAAAGTCTTCAAGACTCCATCGCCAATTAACCAACAGAATGTTGGACTAGTGACATGGTTCAAGTGGTGGAGAGTCATCTGTGAGTGCAAAACCCTGATTCAAGTCCCAGTCCCAGCACACAAACACAAAACTAAAAGCAAAATGAGGACTCTGCCCAGCAGACATGCATGTGTGTATCCATTAAACACTCCCTAAGCCCCGGAAACTGGATGAGCCCCCCTGTAGGAAACCAAAGATGTCCTTAGCTGTGATTTACTTTAAAATCCTGAGAGGAAGACACTACCTTGGATTAGCCAGTTTGTCCATAATACATCCCTTTATAAGAAGGAAGCAGATGGAGATTTAAAAGAAAGAGGGGTTAGAAGAGGACATGATGTGATGATTGTGTCAGAACAAAAGAGATTTGAAGATGCTGTGCCATGACTCTCAAAATGGATGAAGGAACCACAAGCCAAAGAATACCAACAACATCTCAATGGCTCACAAAAGAAAACAAAAACCAAGCAAAGGCTGACATTCACCGGAAGCTGGAGAAGCAAGGAACGGATTCTCCGCACAGAGCCTCTGGGAATGAACCTGGCGGCTGCCTTCGATGGGGCGTCGTTCTGACTTCCAACACCTGGCTTCCATAGGTAAGGGAGAACACATTCCCGGTCTTAGGCTCTCAATTCCGGAGCAGCTTAGCACCTCAGCCACAAAAAATTAACACTGGGTTATTCCCAGTGTCCTTAACTGTGTCTCCAGCAAGAGGGAGACGATAGTTCACAAACGATCATTGGGAAGGGCAGTGTTTCTCAAACAGAACTGGGATGTGCAGTGGCGTACTTAGTGTTCACATTGTGTGATGTGCTAGAAGAGTACATTACTTTATAATGTACTGCCAGGACCTTTAGTTTCTACATTCTTTCCATTCCTGTTTGCTCTCACTGAGATCTAAACTTCGTTTGGACGTGTCACAAACTAGGGGGAAGTTATATTTTGTAGCTATTTCCTACAGGATTTCCTTGTGTCCATCTAGTTCTTACTTCAACCCTGGTTGAAAGAGAAGGACCTTTCCCGCCTTCGCTCACAGATCAAAGTGCTTTCTGAGGAGGTGGAAGATGTCTTCCTTTCTCAGCAGCAACATAAACAATGAACCAGTAAATGACAGATTTGGGCAGGAGATTTTATGAACGAAGGCTCTTCTGCCTAACATTTTTTTTTTTTTGCTTTCTCTGGATTTTTCTATCTACAAGTTGAGTGCTATGTGCAGTAGGTAGGGCCAGCGGCTTCAGATTTTGGAATACTTATGTCACATAAGGATATATCTTGGCGATGAAATCCAAGTCTGCACATCAAGCTTGTTTACGTTATCCTCGCAGTCTGAGAGGAGCTTTATTCAGTAATGACAATGTGGCTGCATGTGACCCCAACTGGGAGGCCAGCTGTGCAATTTCCCACTTGTGTCAGGTGGAGCTCACAAAGGTTGGATTTGGAGTTTTCCAGTGAGATGCTCCATCTGTACCAATTTGTTCCTTCACGTCCCTCCCTCCTGTATCGATGCCATTCCTGCCACACTTCCTAAACTCACTAAAAGCTACCAATGCCTTCAGCTCCCTTCTTAAGTGCACAGACTTAAGATGCACGGTCGAGTTCTGTTTCCCATGGCTTTCTAAAACAAACCAAGAAGCTCATGCCCCGGTACTGCTTTGTCACGATCCAGCTTTGTCATGGTGGGCTTTGCCATGACGAAACTACCCCGATTTTACACGAAAACTCTGTATTCTGGGCATGCTGACAGCTTGGAGTTTCACAAACCCAAATGAGGCTCTTTGAGTGGTGAGGCCGCAGTCTGGTCTTGCATCATGGCCATCAGGCCAAGATCCAGGCAGCTCAATGGATTGCGGCCGACGGGTGGTTAGGAAAGACACTTCACCTAGACGTGCGGTCTTGTCAGGAGGGATCTTGGCAATTCAAGAAAGCTGCATTACCATTCATCTTCTTCATCGTGCGTCTAACCAGATGGCTTGTTTCTCCTCTGAAATCTTTTTTTATATTTTTAATATCTTTAAATAGTGGCACAAAGGAGTTTCAATCTGGCATGTCATGTGTGTGCACAACAGCTCTGAGCAATGTCATCCCTGCCCAGCGAGATTTCTGTCCATTCGATATCTTCTAGTCTTTTCACCAGCTTTTTTGTTTAAAAAAAAAAACAGTTTTTTTGAGACAATCTTGCTTCATAGTTCAGATGGCCTTGAGCTTGTTCTATGGCTCAAAGAACCCCGCCCCCCTGCTTCCTTGGAGATTACAGGCGTCCACACCAACCTGGCTCTCTCCTCATCATCTGCACTGACGAGCCCACAGCCTCAACAGACATGTCCAAAGATGTGCTTCTGCACAGTAACTGCACCGCTTTAGCTTCTTCATTCGTTTCTTCTGTTTCTTTTGCTGCACACCGTGGCTGCCAAACTTGGTTGAACCTTCGGAGTATTTGGAGAGTATTCAAAGTTCCTCATCACCTAAAGCAAATTTTCTGAGAGGAGAAGCTACATGTATGTATGTGTTTGTTTTTTTTTTGGTCCAGTCGTGGGGCTTGAACTCTGAGCCTGGGCGCTGTCCCTCAGCTCTTCAGCTCAAGGCTAGCGCTCTACCACTTGAGTCACAGCACCACTTCCAGCTTTTTTCTTTTTGCTTATGTGGTGCTGAGGAATCGAACCCAGGGCCTCAGGCATGCAAGGCAAGCGCTCTACCACTGAGCCACCTTCCCAGCCCCTACGTGTATGTTTTTAAAGCCCTCTGCTCCCTTCCCTTTTTTTTTTTCTGATCACTTACTATCTCCCGTACGATTTTATTAGCATCATTCCATAGCTTCCTGGAGTTACTATATATAACCAAGTCATGGATTTTTACATTTCTGGAAGTCGTAATTTTGTTATCTGCATAAATGTCCAAAAGGTGGCAATACTTACAAATTTAACGTGCTTGGTTCAAATTGGTTATATGACTTTTTATTGTTATTGTGGAGTTGATACACCGAGGGTCACAGTTACATGAGTAATGAGTACGATTCCTTATGTCTCCCCTTCCATCACTCTCTCCCAGTCTTTCCCTCCCGTCCCCAGCCACAAGATACCCAGTTCATTTTCCATACAGTGTCTAGTGAGCATCACTGTTGTATTTGTTCATCCGTGTTCTGACAGAAATCCTAAGCCTCATTTTAAGCTTAAATTAAGTTTTAATACTGACACATTTGCAAATCCTAGAAGTAGCTGGCAACCGTCTCTTATTATTTGCATTTATAAATTGACCAGAAATGTTTCCAAAATGATACATCGAAATCACACAAAGGTGAGCTGTAAGACATATCCTTCACATATTTAACTGTCTGAGGTGGGGGGGGGGGAGTTAAAGGGTCCTAATGGCATATTTCTGAAAAGGACATGAGGAAATGGTTTGCTAGGCCAGGGATGGAAATGCACACCTATAATCCCCGCTATGTGAGACCCTATCTGAAAACAACCTAATAACAAAAGGACTGGAGACAAAAGGACTGGTAGAGCATAATCAAGAGGCCCTCGTTCAAGTTCCAATACTCTAAAAACAGAAAGAAATTGTTTTCTCTCAGGAAAAAAGCATGTTAATTTATATTCTAAACTCCCTTGACAAGCTACGCAGATAAGCATCAATTGTTTGATTGAAATTAATTGATGTATGTCTTTGGTGTGCATCAAAGCCACTCAGTCATTTACCACTTGGCACTGGTCCTGAGCAGAAACGATACCCTCATTCACAAGTTCTTCATCTGAACCTGTTCACCCCAGGACCATGCAGAAGAGGGCAGAGCTAGCATTTACCAGTCAGTCTTCACCAACTCCTCCAAAGAGATGATGTGTTTTCCCGACTTCCCGTTTCCGGACGACTTCCCCAACTTCCTGCACAACAGTAAGCTCCAGGAATATATCACTACCTTTGCCAGAGAGAAGAACCTTCTGAAATACATACGATTTGAGGTAAGACGCGTCCACACACTCACCTGGCATGTCAGTGAGGAGACTCGTGTCTGTTCCACTATTCCTGACCTTCCTTTCCAGTGTCCCATTCTTATTTGCTCATGTTTTTAATATGTTTTTTATTGTAAAAATACTGTACAGAGGGGTTACAGTTACATGATTTGCTCACATTTTAAGTGTGGCTTCTCTAATCCAAGATTTAGAGAATATAATTATAATATACACTATATATAACATATCATATGATTATATTATAGCATATTATATATCATATCATACGATGCACATCATTACTTACAATTATATATGCTATAATATATTATAGTGTATAAGTTAATGCTTTTATTTTTTAAAGGTAATTATGAATAGGTAAAAATGTACCTTACTAATGAATTCTTTTTCTTAAGCCAAATGGACCTATCAGCCCAGTTTTCTTTCTTTATTTCTCTTAGACATTTGTAACCAGAATAAGTAAACGTGATGATTTCTCAATTACTGGCCAATGGGACGTTACCACTGAAAAGGATGGCAAAAAAGAATCATCTGTCTTTGATGCTGTAATGATCTGTTCTGGGCATCACGTGTACCCTAACCTACCAAAGGAGTCCTTTCCAGGTGTGGCTGAAACTTAGGCTGGTGTCTGACAAGAATGCGAATATTGATGATGTCTGAATTAGTCTCTTTCATGTTACTATAATAGACACCAAGGCTGGGTATGTTATAAAGAGTTTTATTTGGCTTGCACCTATGGGGAGCTTGCTTTTCTCAGTGCACCCTGGCTGTATTTCAACATAGTAGAAAAAATGGACAGGTATCAGCATGGATGGAAAGGGGAGATTACATGACAAAATAGGAAGCCACGAGAATTCAGAGTCCAGGGTCTCCCTCCCAGGGACCTTCTCTTAGGAGCAAAACTCCCTTAACCAGATTAGCATGATCACATTACTTCCTGTAGTCTCCACCCTTAAAGGTGTGCGCGCACAAACACACACACACACACACACACACACACACACACTATAGATAGATATAGATATATCTATATAACTATATAGATATATCTACATATGTATATATCTCTATCTATCTATCTATCTATCTATCTATCTATCTATCTATCTATCTATCTTATATATCCATCAATCCATGCTGGGAACCAAGCTTCTAGAATATATCCTTTTGAGAATATATTTAAACCATACCAAATCATGGCCATGTCTTTTTTAAAGTATGTTATGTAAATTCAAACACATTTCTGTCATATCGTTAGCTATTTGAGGTGTTAATTTCCTTATTTATGTGACTTTTTCAGCCACAAGCCCATCTCTGAAATGTGGTGGGCTTTTCTGAGTGGAAATCCAGCCAATGCACGCCCTTCCTTCTTTTCTTTCAGGACTGCAACGTTTTAAGGGCAAGTGCATCCACAGCAGGGACTACAAGGAGCCGAGCGTGTGGAGGGGGAAGCGAGTGCTGGTGATCGGTCTGGGGAACTCGGGCTGTGACATTGCCACCGAACTCAGCCACACCGCCCAGCAGGTGCGGCACCACACGTCCCCAGTAGACAATCTTCAGGCAATAGAAAGGTGTCACATGCGAGGGGGTGGAACGAGGTAACTACGTGGGTCTGCACATAGCTTATAGTTCACAGGAGAAAACCCCAATGTCACAGTGGGCAGTGGCAGCAGCAACAGGGAGGGTAGCAGCCAGCAGGCTGCTCTGGACCTTGAAAGGTTATGGTTTTGATTTTGAGAGCCAGTAGCAAGTTTTCACCTATCAGACAGATAAAATGGAACCTACTTTGTTCCCGTTTAAACTTGACTTAAGCAGTCAGACGTAAATCCACATGCTAACTCATTTGTGCAGACATCCATTCTATGAGTATTTGTTGAAAGCGTGTGGGTAATAGAAGTCTTTCTACTTTTCACATTGGAGCTGATGGTATGTAAGCTGCAAACCATATGCTGAGAAAGGCACAGTATCAGGAGATGTCTTCAGGCAGCTGGTCTTAAAGTAAGAAGCCTAGTGTCTGCAAAAACTAAAAGAGGGCTCTTCGGTTGCAGATCGGTAGAGTTGAGAGTGAGGAGATGAGAACTTAGAAGGCCAGAGAGGCTGAGAAATGTAGAGAGGCTGAGACATGTAGAGAAGCTGAGAGATGTAGAGAGGCTGAGAAGACCAGAGAGGCTGAGAGATATAGAGAGGCTGAGAAGGCTAGAGTAGCTGAGAAGGCTAGAGTAGCTGAGAGGGATAGAGAGGCTGAGAAGGCTAGAGTAGCTGAGAAGGCTAGAGTAGCTGAGAAGGCTAGAGTAGCTGAGAAGGCTAGAGTAGCTGAGAAGGCTAGAGTAGCTGAGAGGGATAGAGAGGCTGAGAAGGCTAGAGTAGCTGAGAAGGCTAGAGTAGCTGAGAAGGCTAGAGTAGCTGAGAAGGCTAGAGTAGCTGAGAAGGCTAGAGTAGCTGAGGCTTTAGAGGCTGAGAAGGCTAGAGAGGCAGTGCAGGACCTTTAGAGCTTTGGAAGATTCTTTAGAGGTTGACTGCTCAGAAGTCAAACTTTAGGAATCGTGTTTCCAGATGCTGCGCCCATTGATGCACAGCTCACCCTCAACAGGTCCCCTGGGCATCCCCAATGCATGTCCAACTTCATGCCATGATGTTACATGCGATGGAAACAAAGGAGATGTAGGACACAGGATATGAAAAGATATTCCTGTTACTCTGTCAATACATCATACTTGATAGGGAGACACACAAAGAAACTCCAGTCTCTCAGGAAGTAGTGAGGTCTAGTTAAATATTGATGCATATATATATATATAATATATATATATTAAACATGCCCTTCAGAGTTAGGGTAATGCGTTACAGTAGTATTTGAGCTATTATTGGAATAAAGAATAAATTAGAGCAATTCAGACACCAAATGTCTAAATGATTATAGACCCAAGCCTCACAAAAGGGAAACTGAGCCAGTCTTTAAAAGGTAATTATAAATCATAAAGGTGAGGAAGGGCCCAAGCTGTCTGTGAAGGGAAAATGGTATCAGCAAAGCATGAAGGTATGAATCGGAACTGCATGCATAGTTGATGATCTTGCTGAAGTGCATGTTCTTCATAAGAACAATTTGTAAAATACATTAACACTTTTCTCAACTACCTCAATATAAATAAGCTCCTTTGATGATGAGAAGAAAGCAATTAATTTTATTATGTTCATTCTATAGAAGTGATAACCGAGGGACTGAAATGCCAACTGTTTTCTTGAAAATCAGACAGGGAATTAACATTTGAGCCAGAGAAATGTTAGAGAACTGAGATTCAGATTTTTCTGATTCCAAAATCAGAGTAGCTACAGGAATTGACTCAGGAAAGAAAGATTGATGTCAGCTTACAAAATCTGTGTAAGGCCCTTGGTAACAGGCTAAAGAATTTGGATTCTCTATAAAGAAAGATAAATCACGTAAATACTCCTTGTACCAAGTAAGGATACGATGAAAACTTCTTCGAAGCAAGAAAACTAGTGTCTAAGACTCTGAGGTTAATCAATCGGCACTGCAGTCATTTCTTATTTAGCTAGCTTCCCTTATACACAAATATCTTCTATTTAACTTTGTTTTTTAAAAAAAAGAAAACATAAAGTAACCCTGAAAAACTATGTCTTACAGCAGAAGAGGAAGGGAATGGACATTGATTGAACATGTGCTCCAGGCTAGGCAGGGCTAGCTGCGTCGCCCACATTCACATCGAATCCTCACGCAAGTGAGATGCATTAGGATCTGATTCCCTCCTGTTTTAGAAGTGAGGAAACACTAATAGAGAATTGAAGGAATCTTCCTAAGACACATCATTAGCAAGCAGGAGTCCGGGATTGGACCCATTATTTTCTAATTCTAAATCTCTTGCCTTCATTTAGTGCGGTGGCAAGTAGTTTAAATGAAATACTTTGAGATCGGAGTCAAGTCTTTGCAGACAGCCCTAGTAAGATAACCACTAAAGGAAGATGACTAGAGTCAGTGGTCAGTCCCCTTCCTGTCGGCATCCATGCTCTACAGGAGGAGAAGGAAGCGTCCTTTAGCCTTACACTGAAAACGTTCTTTGGAATTATTCTGAGTGGAACAAGAGTCTGAGCCTGGGAGGTCCGCAGCACCCAGAAAAGGGCTCAAGGCTTTGAGAAATGCTCAGCTCTTCCACCCAAACAACGTTTCTCTTGAATTATTGGTCGCGTCTTAACTAAGTTTTCATGTAGTTGTGCTAAGGGGTCTCGATGCGATGCCACTGCATGAGTACAGCACATCTTGACCAGTGCCAGCGCTTCTGTCATTTTCCTCCATCCGCCTGACTCCACCTCCCCACGCACACGCGCGTGCGTGTGTGCTAACATTGTCACCTATGTACACTGAGCCGTACGATTGCACTCACCCACCCTTCCTCTCTCCTTTCTTCTTCTTCCTTTCCCCTGGACCTCACAATGGCAACGCTCCCAAGAGCCGGGGTGATCAGCCCCTTCCTGAAGGGGGTGGGGTGTGAGGAGCCTCTCCGGCATCCAGTATGAGCAGTCACACTTTTCACGGTGGAATTGGTGTTTCTGAAGGTCATCATCAGCTCCAGAAGTGGATCGTGGGTGATGAGCCGCGTCTGGGACAACGGCTTTCCTTGGGACATGGTGACGATCACGCGATTTCAAACCTTCCTCAAGAACAACTTGCCAACAGCCATCTCCGACTGGTGGTACCTGAGACAGATGAATGCAAGATACAAACACGAGAACTATGGCTTGATGCCTTTGAACGGGTAAGGCAGAGTCCGACAGGCTAAGCCCGCTGGTGCTCATCTCCATGTCAGCGGCCTTAGCTTGCGTGCAATCCTAAAGCAAAGTCTCCGTGTAGTAATCGCCTCTCCTGTATCAAAGGATACAGAACTACAAAGATTAGAGGTGAGTTCTGCACGTCCTCCCAAGTTGCACAGTTGGAAAGTCATAAACACCTCAGCAGAGTGGAGTATCATCTAATAGCTCAGCAGTTAGACGCAGAGCAACAGTAGCTAACCTGTCTGACGCACATCATCGGTCTCCCAGCCTCTGTCCGGCGTCTACCAAGAATCTGAACACTGTGACCTCACTTTTTGTTCACAACTATGAAGAGGGCTCAATTCGTACACTTGTTTTAGAGATGAGAAAACGGAGGGTCAATATAGTTAGTAACTTTGCCAAAATCCCACATCCAGAAAGGAGAAGCTACATTCAAAGCAAATCAAGACCTGTGTATTCCAGAGCCCCTAGTTCTTCGGGCATTTTTTCTGCCCCCTCCCATTAATGCATTGCCAGGCTGAATTAAGCAAAGCAAGAGTCTCATCATCCTGGAGCTGACCACCACTGCCACAAGCCTGTGTCTTTAGTTTCCTTCTCCCTTTCTCCTCTATCTCCCACTACACCCACCCCGTAAGAAATGACTAGGATATGAGATAAAGATCCCAACTTTTTCCTTCTGAGTGAAATCATTAACTCAACAAATATAAGTTCCATGCTATGCTAGGTCCTGTAGGCAGAGCAATAAGGAAACAAGCAGACATCCCCATGGAACCTATGATCTAAGTAGCAGGAAAGACTACTGAAGAAGGCGGAAGGTCTAAGGGGAGGGAGGGGGGGCTGGGAGGAGACAGGCAGGAAAGGCAGCTCAGGACGGTTTTCAGCAGTCCTCAGAGCAAAGGCCTGGGGGGAGGAGGGGCGTCTAGGGAAGGGTTTCCAGGGAACCGAGAGAAGCCATCCTCTCTTCAAGGGCACGGCTAGTGTGACTGCCAAGGGGCTCTCTCTCTGGAAAAGAGACCTGAGGCAAGCAGCAGGAGAAAAACAGATACCTCAGGGGCTGGGAAGGTGGCTCAGTGGTAGAGCGCTTGCCTTGCATGCATGAGGCCCTGGGTTCGATTCCTCAGTACCACATAAGCAGAAAAAGCCAGAAGTGGCGCTGTGGCTCAAGTGGTAGAGTGCTTGCCTTGAGCTGAGGGACAGCGCCCAGGCCCAGAGTTCAGGCCCCATGACTGGCAAAAGAAAACAAAAACAAACAAACAAAAAAAGAGATACCTCAGAGGCGGGAAAACAGCTAGGCAGTGTTGGGCCTGGTGAACGTTGCCAGGAGCCTTGCTTCTACTCTAGAAGCAGTAAGAAGCCACAGACACCCGGACACGGAAATGACATGGGTGATCTCTCTAAGCTGCTGTGGCCACCATGTCGTCCTTGAGTGTAGGGACCCAGGGAATGAGTAGAAATTAAAACAACAACAGCAACATTAATTTTTTAAAGTATTGTCAAAATTCCGGATGGCAGAGGTCAGTTGTTTGGACTCAGATCAGTAGCCATCAGCCAGCAGAAGAGGGAGTGGGGAAATGTTATCAAATTCAAGGAATATTCTACAAAACTTGAGGGAACGGGTGAGCTGGAGGGCTGGGAGAGAATGATCAGATAGATTCAGATACTACTTCAGTGAATGGCAAGTCCTTTGTATAACTACTCAGCGAGAAAAATAAAACTTTCAGAAGCAGAAGCGGACAGACTCTGGATGTAGCTTGAAGGACCAGAACCTTGGGGCCTTCTGCAGTTGCTGGGTACGCCTCCTGTCACCTGCGGGTGCTGTTACAGGCAGGGAGACACGCTTCACCCCTCCGTGAGCCCAGACAGAGCTTCCCGCCTCTCACTTTCTTCCTCCTATTTAGGTTTATCATACTACGGGAGTATAGTTTATCAAGAATAGCAGATAGCATTCTTAAGGACTCAGTATTGGCTGGGGACTGCAAAATTCTTCATATCACTATGAGCAGGTTAAGTATGAGAAAAGTAAGGTCCAGAGAATCTAGATGCTTACAGGTGAAAGATCGCAAAGAAAAAATACTCAACTACAGGATATTCTTATGTGAGGATTTTTCCTGAGGGACTAGGCATGGGTGTTACATGAAATGTGGAAGGAGCCCAATGACAGGAGAGAGAAAAGTTAGAGAGAACAGAGAAAGGATAAATGATGTTCACCATGTTCTCATGCATCAGTTGTGTTTCCAGTTTGATTGGTGATGCTCTGGCTCACTGAAGAACATCTTGGTAGCTTCTTCCTTCCTTAATAATCTGCATATATATATTGATATATATATATATATATCAATTAGACAGTGTTGCAATCATTCTCACTACTGTCCACACAGAGCCCTGAGGAAAGAGCCCGTGTTCAATGATGAGCTCCCAGCCCGCATCCTGTGTGGTACTGTGTCTGTGAAGCCCAACGTGAAGGAGTTCACAGAAACCTCGGCTGTATTTGAAGACGGGACCGTGTTTGAGGCCATCGATGGTGTCATCTTTGCTACAGGTTACAGCAATGCTTACCCCTTTCTTGGCGATTCCATCCTCCAAAGCAGAAACAATGAGATCACCTTGTTTAAAGGCATCTTCCCACCTCAGCTAGAGAAGGCCACGATGGCTGTGATTGGCCTTGTTCAGTCTCTGGGGGCTGCCATCCCCACCACCGACCTCCAGGCCCGCTGGGCAGCGCAAGTAATCAAAGGTAAGAACAGGCAGCTGGCCCAGGGGGCTCCCGGGGATGCTGCCTGAGCCCAGGGGGCTCCCGGGGATGCTGCCTGAGCCTGGGTGAAGCAACAGTCCTGGGGCAAGAGGCCTATCCAGCTGCACCCACCCTCCCCCCATCCAGCTGCACCCGCCCCTCCCCCAAGAGGCCCATCCAGCTGCACCCACCCTGCCCGAGGATGCTCGGTAGGGAATGGACTCAACACCCTATCCTGTAACTGTAAAAAACATATAAAACCAAGTAACTATGAAAAAACAGACCCATCCAGTTTTGAGAACCTGTAACTCTATATTCTTTGGTGTTATATTTTGTTATTTTTTTAATTTTAATATACATATATAGATGTTATTGTAAAGATGCTGTACAGAGGGGTTACAGTTACATGAGTAAGGTCATGAGTCCATTTCCTATCGAGCGTTGTTACCTCCTCCTTTGTTTTCCTCTACCATCCCTTTCCTCCCCACCTCCCCACCTCTCCCTCCCGCACCCCCAAAGCTGTAAAGTTCGTTTTCAACACAGTGTCTTGTACATCTCATTGTTACAATGGGTCAACCTGTATCCTTGTCCAGCATTTTGTTATTTCCCTTCCCCTCCCCAAATTAGAAAATGTATGTGCAAGATGCAGGGTGGTGTTATATTTTATAAGCAATTTATAGCAGGTCATGCTGGTTATCATATGTAATAGTAAGATATTATTAGGGGAGATTTTATCACTTTTCTGCCACTTACAATTCCTTAGTGCTGATAACTGTCCAAGATGATTCCTTGAACTACAAAGCACCAGACATTTCCATCTTCTACATGAGACAACTTTGTAAAATTGTGATTACAAAACTGAGCAGAATTATATTGTTTGAAAGTTGAGAAGATAAAGTAATGCCAAGCCAGTATGCCAACTGGATGACAACTGCAATATCCACAGTCATTGAAAATAGGCTTTCTGGGAATGTGATTTTTTCTGGTACATGTTTCTTCCCTGCCATGTATTAGCTAAGGACAATCAGGATGGGAATGTATTGGGTATAGTCGATGGTCAGTCTCTAAGATACAAGACAATGACTTCTTACATTCTGAAAAGAGAAAGGGAGTACTAAATTTGCTTGGGCTAAGGTAAAAAAAAAAAGCAGCATCTTCCAGCAATGGCACTGAGGTCCGATTCACTGTGACTTTTCAGTGTAGCTGTGAATTGTGGACAGATATTGATCATAAGACTACCTAGGGTCAGGATTAAAGAAAAAGTACAGATGTTAAATTTATTGCACAAAGTTTAATTAAACCTTAAGTTATAAACCTTCTGGATCAGAGAGTCTGAAGAGGCTTGGTCTCTTTGGAAGCCATGTCTAAGGCTTCTAGTTCCAACTCTGACTTGCTGGGGCTTTAAAGGTTCCTCATTATACAGTGGCACACAGACCCGGACAGTGTACATTCTAGGCACCAGCATGGTCCTGCACATAGTGGTCTCCCTGAATCTCCTTTTCTTCCTCCAGGCAGAAATGTGCAGACCTCAGAGAGGAGGCTGGCCAGAGAGGCACAGCCAGGAAGCGGGGATCAGGGGACCCCTCTCAGGGTTCCATTCCCCAGGGTTTGAGCCCAAGGAGACTGGAATGAAATGGTGGGACACTCGCTGTCCATGAGGACAAGTGTTGTCAGCTCTGGAAAAGGAAACAAGGCAATTGATAAGTAATCAATGTCCAAGGCAGCTGCAGTCCTGGGAGAAATGGGACAGGGAACAAAACAACCTAGCTTTGTAAAAATAAAACAAGAGTCCCAGGACCAAGGGCAGCCATCACAGGCAACAGCGCATGGCAGTAGCTGGTGGACGATTGCCAACATTCTTTTTCTTCTCAAACTGTTTTCCTGCCTAAGGAAAGATAGGTTTCCAGGATCTGGAATTAGGCCTTCTCTACAAAAGCTGTCCAGTGATTGCAGGAATCAGGGAATTATGGAAGTCACTTGAGCAATCGTACCTTGGCTATAAGTTCTAATCTCACGTAAAATGCCAAAGAAATCATCACAAATTAGAAGCATCTCTGGCCCCATAAACTTTCTTTGGGTCTGTGTTTCAGAAATCTCTGTAAACCTACATCAGCCTAAAATCCTGAAGCAACCCTCAAAGTGTCTCTTACATCTTGAGGCTCCCTCCTCATGTCCTTGGTGACTTTCAGCAGTCCAATGTCTCCGTCACATCCAAGAATGATTGGCCCTCCACAGACAAACACGAGGCTCATAAATCCTACATCTTATCTTCTCGAAATTCCTTTCTCTGGCAAAGCAAAATTCTTCCTTACCGTCTCTCAAATCTTCAAAATACCTTGTCAATTCCCTTTTATTTTGTTATGCCTTATTAGATTAATGTCTTTAAAACATGATGGAGTAGAATAGAATCCCTGAAACAGATACTAAACTTCAGGTAACTGCTTTAAGAACACAGTACAAAGGTATTTTACCTAACATTTTTTTTATAACTGTGACAGGTATCAATTCTGAGAAGATTAAAAATAGAATTGTATATCTGTCTCCAAATAATCACTTGTTTATTTGCTCAAGATTTTATTTTTCCAATAGTGACGAAAGTTGAAAATATTGCTATTGCTCATTAGGAAAGAAATGTGAGAGGATATTACTACCCCAAATGCGTTAACTGTCCTCACGTCCATCCTTCTTTTTCAGGAACTTGTACTTTGCCTTCTGTGAAAGATATGATGGATGATATTAATGAGAAAATGGGGAAAAAACTCAAATGGTAAGAGTACCCTTGTGGTAGAAGTCTAGGATTAGCCAAATAAAGGCATTAGGGTGACCGCTAGGAGTCACATCCACCCATCAAGAAATATCCGCACCTGATACTGCGTGAAGTCCTGGTGAGTGCACGATGCAGGGTACAGAGAAGGACCAGGGTCTCGATTACAGAACTACCTTTACCCCTCCATGTCCCCTGCAAGTACACACATCACAGAAGGAGATCCAGAGATGGCGAGTCATCCAAGGAGCTGGGGAGCGTGAAGGTAGAATTTCTATTCTCTGCCCAGAAACCTGAGATGCAGATATGACTTCAAACAGTGCTGGTAATGAACACGCCTCAGTGCGCGGGCAACAAATCCGGAACACTGGACTCTACTCTCCCACTGATGAGCTCAGCGGCCATGACTTGAGCAAGGGACAACTTATCCATTTGTTAACAGAGATTTAAAAAAAAAAGGTTCTATCAATTCCCTGAAATGTGGTGGAAATTCCACATAAGATCCAAAGAGCATTCTTTGATAACAGTTCAGAGCAGGCAGTAATACTCTCCTCCCTCTGTCTGACCTTGAACCCATGTCACTGACAGAGCAGAAGTGGGGTCTGTGTCCCGGGCCCTGAGCGAAGGGTGACCTCACGGTGCTGCATCCTCTCCCTCCTCCAGGTTTGGCAAAGGAGAGACCATACAGACAGACTACATCACGTACATGGACGAGCTGGCCACCTTCATCGGGGCAAAGCCCAGCGTCCCGTGGCTGTTTCTCACAGATCCCAGGCTCGCCCTGGAAGTCTTCTTTGGCCCTTGCAGCCCCTACCAGTTTCGGCTGGTGGGCCCAGGGAAGTGGCCGGGCGCCAGGCACGCCATCCTGACCCAGTGGGACCGGACACTGAAACCCACGGCCACGCGGGCTGTTCGAGGGCCTTGGAAGCCCTGCCTGTTCGCAAAGCCGCTCGGGATCCTGGCTCTCCCTGTTCTGCTAGTTGCGCTTTTTCTGGTGTTGAGCTGAGCGTTATTCCCTCTGGGGCTTCTGGGAATTATTGACCATAGCCAGGCAGGGACGCTGCTACTTAAACCTCTTACTTTCTTAATGAAGATCATTGGCTCATATACCATAGATGTTGACCAGGGCAGCCGAGTTGTTTCTAGCTTTTTAAAGAAGCTTCCTTAAGAGTCACATGATCTAAGCTCATCATTAATCATTCTCTTTAGGTCCCACTAACACTTCATAATCAGAATTGTGCTCTTTATGTCTCACTTAAATCATCTCCTGAAACATTTAGACATGATGTCTTTTCTCCTTTAAACACTGCTTGAAGTATGCACTTCAAGTCTAAATAAAGTAGGCAGTAGGCAGAATATTTACAATATGATATTCTCAAGACCTCTGCGGGCGAGTTCAGCTATTGGAGATTTCCCTTACAAGGCATATTCCGGCAGTACCTCCCGCTCCCTCACCTAGAGACCGTCCAACCTGACCAGTTCTGAAAACATGCACTTTCCCGATACTCTCAACAAGGAAACTAAATCACTAACGTGTATCTGCAAAGGAATAACATCAGCATTAACAATGGCCTTTGAAGGTCTGGGAAGGTGGCTCAGTGGTAGAGTGCTTGCCTTGCATGCATGAGGCCCTGGGTTCGATTCCTCAGCACCACATAAGCAAAAAGAAAAAAGCCGGGGTGCTGTGGCTCAAGTGGTAGAGCGCTAGCCTTGAGCTGAAGAGCTGAGGGACAGCGCCCAGGCCCAGAGTTCAGGCCCACGACCGGACCCAAAAAAAAAAAAACAATGGCCTTTGAGTTGGATAGAAAGACATTTTAAAACTTCAATAGTAGCTAAAATTGTGCCCAGAATTTAATATTACACTGTAAATTGAACTTCTGAGGAAACAGAATAAATCCAAACTTTTCCCTTGTTATCTTTTCTTATTAAAAGTTTGACAGTTATGATTTTAAATGTATAGATCAGATAAAATAGACTGCCAGCCTCCCCAGGTAACAGTGTCGGCTGAATCTTCCCAGAAGGGAACCTGCTCCTCCACAGACAACTACCGACCCAAGCACAACCTTCACCCAACCCACGCCACGCCTCACACTCAGTCTCGTCTCTGCCCACATGTTTCAATGCCTTCCTTACTCCAAAAGCTTTCATTATAGTTTTTGAGGGAAGGGAAAAAGGCAGGCAGGATGGCTGGGCAAGTTGGAACGATGTCAGCCCGCTCTGGGCGACAGAGGCTGCCCCCCCCCCATCTCACTGCCCGCTCTGCAGGGGGTGCGTTACTGGGAGAACAAAAGCATACTAGAAGCAGTAGATAGTTTGGCATGTAGAAAGGCGGAATCGGAAGGTGAGGTGACAAGTATGAGGTATTTATTCATAGTAGCCATAAAAAGATCTATCACAATTTTATGTATTATAAAAAAGGACTAAAAGCATCCCACAACAGAAAAGACTCTAACCACCAAAGAAGACAACAAAGGGGGACAAAAGAGCGTGGACCCCATAGAACAATCTGAAAACTAAAAAATAAGTGGCAGTAGCAAACCATCTATCAATGATTACTTTGGATACACATAGATTAAGATACAGAGGATTGGTGGGTTTAAAAACATGGAGATCCTGGGGCTGGGCAGGTGGCTCAGTGGTACAGTGCTTGCCTCGCATGCATGGAGCCCCGGGTTTGATTCCTCAGCACCACATACACAGAAAAAGCCAGACGTGGTACTGTGGCTCAAATGGTAGAGTGCTAGCCTTCAGCAAAAGAAGCTCAGGGACAGTGCCCAGGCCCTGAGTTCAAACCCCAGGACTGGCAAAAAAAAAAAAAAATTAAGATCCAACCATATTGTTGCCTCCAAGAGACTGAAGGAGTGAGCCTGAAGTGCCCATAATCCTGCACCGAGAGGCTAGACAGGAGGCCCATGAACTTAAGACCACCCGTGGAAGGAGAAAGGGGGAGGGAAGGAAGGCAGGAAAGTAAACTGTAGATAAGTGACCAATGAAGAAACTCTCAACACCACTAATCATTAAGGAAATGCAAGTAACACCCACAAAATAGCAGCTCACGTGTGTTAGGATGAGTTCTATTGAAATGATGGCAAATCCCAAGGGTTAGAGAGGGTGTGGTGAAAAGAACGGTTGCCAATTGTTTTGAGACTATCAATTATGGAAACGAGTATGAAGATTCATCAAAACTCCCAAAGTAGAATTCCCATCTGGTCTGCTCACCCCACTTCTGGGTATAGATCCAATAAACTAAAATCACTCCGCCAATGCGTTTACCTCCGCATTTTTTTTACTAAAGCCAGGATTTGAAAACAACCTGTACGGGCATCGGTAGATGGATGAGTACAGAAATGTGAGGTATGTGCGGACATAGCATTCCTTGTTTAAAAGGATGGAATATTGTGATTGTTGCCACATGGATAAATACGGAGGACATGAGGAAAAGCAAAATGAGACAGTGCAGAAGGACAAACACCAAGGGGTCACACTCACATGTAGAACCTAAGAGTTGAGTGCAGAGACCAGAAAAAAGAGGCAGATGGGGTCATCGGAGCAGAACAGGAATCGGAAATTGATCATCAAAGGTAAGACATTGCAGGTTCGGAGATCTACTGTAGTGACTATAGCCAACAGTAATACACTACGCATTTCAAAGTAAGAGACTAAATTTCAAGGGGGGTGTGGTGTGTGTGTGTGTGTACACATGTGCACAAAGCAAACCCCACAAAGACATAGAATTTTACTTGATTGCTGAAAGTAATTAGCTAGGCACTAGAAAGTCACAAGGAATCCACTGACCAGATCTCCCTGCCGGACTAAAGGAAGCAGGAGTCAGACTTTCTAAGAGGGGAAGAAAAGCCAAAAGGCAGGAGGACGACACAAGGAGGATCGCGGTCCGAGGCCAGGCCAGGCAGAAAATTGGAAGGATCCCAGATCAAACTAATAAGCCAAGCAGCCGTGGCCCAGAGTGGCTATGCAAGAGTACAACTAGGAGAGGGCAGTCCAGACTGCCGGCAACAAGAGACACAGCCACAAGTAACAACCACAGGAAGGACGTGTGGGCCGGGCTCAGAGAGTAAAGCCTCTGCTTGGCAAGCACAAGATCTGGAGTTCAAACCTGAGCATAGCCAGCACATAACTAATCGGTGGAGTCAGGATGCTCAACTTACGGAGGGCTGGCTGGCGCACAGGCCGCCAGAGGACCGTGGCAGGAACGAGGCAAGAATCCAGGCGGCCAGGCGTCTTCCAGCCTGGGGATTTACTACAAAAGCCCGCGTTCAAACACACTTAATTACAAGGGGGCGCGCCTGACACTGGCCTTGTACACTGGGGCAGTGTTCAGACCTCAAGAAGTTTTTCTTTGTTTGCAAATCCATGTGGAACTAAGCACTTTTTTCTATAAAAGTTAATTTGTAGCTATCTGAATAAAAAGAGAGTCCTTTGTTGGTGTTTAATAATAGCTTTTCAAGGGGAATAATTCGTTTTCCATTCATTTGGCTTGCTCTGTAGTGCCTGGGAATAACAAAGTGTTGGAAGCCATTCAAGTCTCTTTAACAAGAAATGAAGTAATGTCCTCTCTGTCCCCCGCAGCCCTGCAGTACTGGCCTCTGCCCTCTGCCCTCTGCCCTCTGCCCTCTGCCCTCTGCGTGGCTGGGTTCTCTATTGTTATTGCCAAGCCAGAATCTCTGGTGGCCAAAATATGTACTTTAAAAGTAACGATAGTAGGTCTATTTTTATTCAAGCATGCAGCATGCATATTAAACTCTTTATGCACTGGCCTCTGTGCTGTATGACAGACTCTTTCTCTAATGCCAGAGAATTTACAGCCTAGGAGGTGAGGCTAGAGATGAACATATACGTGCTTACATTTACATCCTTTTTAGGTAGTTAATACCTGAATGACCATTTCTATTCTTATCCAGGCACAAAGATTCATGCCTCTGATCTTAACTACGGAGGCTGAAATCTATAGGATGCCAGTTCAAGGCTAGCTAGGGCAAACAAAACGTGCGTTTCAGGGCATTCACATGCCCTGAAAGTATCAGTGAATCACACTGTACCTCGTAAACATGTATTGTCATGAATCAACTTAAAAATGGAAGTAATAATTTAAAATCCAGCCTCAGTGTCCTCAGTTGCCCATACTTTCAGAAATTACCAGTACCCTATAGAGTATTACAATCAGATGCTCACTAACCCAGAATATTCTTTTCAGGTAGGTCTGTATAGCAGAGACCTCTCAGAGGTCGAGAGAGGCTTGAGGTGGGTCTTCCATTTTCTGCAAATGCACTTTAAAGAAGAAATGTAAGAAAACATAACTAATTAAAATATTCATGTAAGACAAGCAAAAATTCCACAACCAAAGATAGCATTTCTGTATTGCATAGAGTCATAAGCTCATTGCTTATGTAGTAGTAGCTCATAATCTCTAGAGGTAGAAAGAGCTTCCTATTGAAACTTTTAAGATGGACATGTTCCTTCATGCCTTTCATTGGGAACATGTGAATACATACATGGTCTTGTCTGGAAGTCATGTAAAAATATGTATATAAATGTAAGAACTTTGAGGAGTATTTCCTGGGCCTTGCAGCCTCTCCAATATTGGGTAGCTCTCATTGAAAATATTGTAGGTCAACAGTTCTCAGCACAATTCACTTCAGTGAGTACTCGCTTTTATTTATTCAGTTTTAGGAGAACTAAAGGTCTATCAGGGCTCCTGAACACAATAGAGTGCCTTCTCAGAGGAGGAACCGAACTAAAGCTTCTATATAATGGGCTGTACCAACACAAACACTTACACATACACCACTGTTGCCCAGACCATAATGTTCTGGACCTCTGCAGACTTTGCAGCCGCATAGCTGCATCAAGTGAAGCGTGGGCTGGGAAGGGGGCTCACACCTGTCACCCTAGCTACTCAGGAGGCTGAGATCTGGGGATCACAACTCAAAGCCAGCCAGGGCAGGAAAGGTCTTCAGACTCTTATCTCCAGGGAACCACCGAACGTCAGCGAAGGCTGCATCTTCTTCCTCCTCTCCCCTTGTCGGGGGGAGAACTCCTGGGCACAGGCCAGGCCAAGGGGAGGGAGGGCCTCTGCAGGGGGAGTGGGCGAGAGGAGATGGGACCCACTGAAGCCACGGAGCTGGAAACCTTCAAACAGCCAGGTCTCTGGCTGCGGTTATAGATCCCCTAAGACTCCCTTTGGTCCAAACGAGAGGATGAAAATTCTCCAAAGATGAGAATTGCATAAATCTCCCCAGCCTCACCAGCGCCTCTGTGGTCCTAGCATGTCTGATAAGCACTGTGTTCATCGCACTGTCGCTCCTTCCATTTCCGCTGGAACCGGCCTGCTCCGTGGACGCACAGGAAAAGCCACAGGGCTCGTGGACAATGGCAACGTAGGAGAACCATCCCTCGGGAGTAGCTGCTGCCTCACAAGCTCAACTTTATCTTTACTGGCTTATTAGCTATATGGAAGGTTTCCTTGTGATACTTGCATACATGCATGTAATGTACTTTGCTCAAGTCCATCTCTTCTAGTTCACTCTTTCCTACAATCTTAAAGGAGTTTCTCG